GCATCGGAGAAGCATATGCACCACACGAATCAGTTACTTGGCTGCCAGGGAAGCGAGGTGTAGCGCTTTCACGACGAAAGGTGCGCTGGTTGCTGAGCAGGACTTCGAAAGCACTCCGCCCCAAAAGCGATCCGCCCACTAGTTTAGTTGGTGATTTGGACGAGCTGCGTTGCCAGCAGCGGCACAACTGGAGCACTCGATTGGAGCGTGGTTTGGCATGGTGCCACCAAACGCGTTGCGTGAACTCGTTCATACGTCCGCTTTCTGAGCTGTTACCTGTTCATGAGTGAAAACCAACGGCCAAAAAGGGGGTCCCGTTTTGCGTTTTCTTGACGGATTTCTCCGCTTTTTTCGCCACTGGCGTACCATTGAGCACCACCACGTCTCTCTAAACCCTTCTTGAAGTATCGTAATCGCTGCCTTTGAAGGAGTGTTATGATGACCTTTACACTTGCAGAGAGCACTAAGCTAGCAGTGAAGCTCTCAACATCGATCACTTCAATAAACTCAGATTTGAAGGAGGATTCTTCAATAAGGACAAAGGCCGGAAGAAGGGGAAACTCACCTAATGAGAAGTTAGGCGGACCTGCTAAGGCAATTCGCATCAAAGAATATTCCTCGGCGATCAAGCATGACCCTCCCCGTGACGAAAGTGGCGCGTTATCGGCCCACTACGCCTCCTCTCGCGTCGTCTCGTGTTTAAGTCCCTACTTGTCATTAACAAAATATCAGAGGGGAGCGGGTAGTAAGGAATCAGTTAAGATTCTGTTTTGCGTGGGCCCGCAGACTGAAGTCTAACGTGTAACGCCAGATGCCAAATTAGCCAAGTCCGGACCGCTGGAAGAAAACTCTATGCTCTTTCTTGAAATTGTGTTTATTTGAATTTTAGCCAATAACAGGTCGATCTTGGCAAGAGGAGGAGGCTTCAATGGAAACTGTCTCGGTTATGCACCCAAAGCTCGGGACATGCAGAAAATGGTACGAATCTCTCTCAGTAATTTTTTCCAATTATCTACGATACATTCAAAATACCACAACCCATCGACAACTTCACTGTTGCAGGTCTATGACTGCTCTGCTGAAACGTCAGCGCTGCGCCATGCGAAAACATGCTCTGGTGAGCTCTCAGAGCGATCTTCTCGACCTGGATTGAAAGAGAATATCATCAAACTTCACAAGAATTACTTAAATAACACGGACGTTGGGCGGCATGTATGTCTTCTCGATCATCTTCTCACCCTTCACTATCTAGAAATAGGTACCCTTCGTGTTCAGCACCTAGGTGGTTACTGCAGACTTCACAGCACAAATCACGACGGCCCCCACAAAATGTTCTAGGCTTCTGCCACCTAAATGATAGCTGCGACGCTTGGTTTCTAAGGCAGCAATACGGCCCTCCAGCAGGGTCGGGAGCAGGGTGAATAACGGTCGAGGAAATCCTCGACCATAGCTCTCTACCATGCGAGAGTAGTGCCGAGAGTGAACATCCGCGCGGAGAGCACAGACGGCACGGCATGGCGAGTGTGAATGTCCGCGCGAGAGATATCGTCTCTGATCGGGCAGAAAATCTCGACTGTCGTGAGAATCCCAATGCGATATTACCTGAAGGAATCTGCAGCTCACATAACACTTCGTCACTCACGAGAACACTGAGTCTAGAACCTAGCCCTCCACCAAGAAAAGGGGGCGCGAGAGCATGGCTGAGCAGTCTCATCCCTTGTGCCATGCGTCCCCACCCGTAGGCTGGGTCCTTATAACTTTCCTGCGGACTAGCTCCCTGAGGCGCATTGCGCAGCCCTTCGCAATTATATTCTATCGATCGTCACTAATTATAACTACAATTTATCCACTAATGCTATCACCCTAAACAACCACCAGCACTATACATTAATCTCGATTTTCTCAAAACGCGCACTGTGTTGTATAAACGTCGTATGCGTCACACGGTCAACGTTGAGGAATCCTCGACACGTCGCCAGGGGGGGGGTCGTATTGGCCCGCTGGGTGGAAGAGATCGAGCCATTTTGATGCAGTGGGATCATCACCGTCGGAAGACAAATATCAAGGATGAGTCGATGCCAGGCCAGAGGATTTCCAATGAAAATGATATTTCACCCACACAAAATTCGTATTCGGAGCTCCGCATTCCTAGCACCTCAGTGTTTATCACCACACAAGTTAAAGAATCTGAATTTCGCACGCTCTCCAAGAGATATTTCATCTTTCAAGTAAGGCCCCGAATCTGAAGGGATGTGAGGTACACGGCGCATCCGAGAAAGGGTCTAGGTAGTTGTTGCGCGCGCTTCAACTACGACTCCTGGACAAACAACTCAATCCAGAAAATCGAGAGCATCTGAAAGGTCGTGCCATTTCAGATTTACACCATTCAACATTGCGTTAACGGACTCTTCAGGGTTAAATTTATAAACATGTAACCTTTAAAGTTGAGAAACGCTAATCAATCACTTTTCTTAGAAAGAGAAAAGCAATGATTCCAAATCTGCTCTTACTTTAGTACATAACGCCCTTAAAAGGATATACAGCCGTTGAAATAGTGCCAATGTAGCGAAAAAGTACCTTTCGGTGCTCGTGCAAAAATCCTCAACGTAGCCGTTTTTTTAATACTGGACGTTTGGAAGCAGTTCTAGTAAGCATTTGATAGAGCAAATCTTCTAGTTTATGATGGCGTATTTACTTTTCGGATTGGATGAGTTTGAACGGAGTTATGGCTTTAGGAAGTAAAAAAACTCGCACTCATCACAAATTTTCCTCGTTAATTTTGCAGAAATCCTCAACGTGGCCATTTTTCGAATACTGGACGTATAGAGCTGCTTTAGCAACGTTTGGTAGAGAAAATCTTCTAGTTTTGTCTGCCATATTAACTTTTCGAATTTGACGAAAATGAAGCAAGTTGTTGCTTCGGAAAGTGTAAAAACTCGTGCTCATCTCGAATTTTCCTCGTTAATTAACCTAAATTTGTTATTTCTTATAACTTTTTGTAATTTCTATACTGATTAGAAAAAGCTCTTCACAAAACTTCCAAATCTACTTTCAGATTGAAAATTCGTCATATTTGAAGAAAGTTATAATCATTTGAATATTTGTTCAAATTTCAATAGTAAATAAGCTGCTCCACGGTCAACGCCAAAGTCCAGTCAACACACAGCTGGCGAAGGCGGTTAAAAAGCTTCTTTCAACTGAAGGGCTACGTGCAAATTGAGAACCACAATCTGTGTAGTACTAGAATTTGGTAAGTCTTGTGGAGGGAATAAATAAAGAAGCAGGATTCAGGATGCCATTTTAGCGAATATTTCGTTCCTGGTCGTTCTCTTGCCTCGTTTCTAGACTCATCAAATATGGTATCTTGGACCTTTTTCAACTTTGGTAACTTCTAACGATTTTGTTGGCGACCTGGTCACCACGGCTGTTTTTATAGCAGTTTGGGAGACAGATTCCAAAAACAACTTTCAACCTTTCATATTTCGAGCTTTTCGAACAGGGTTTCATGGATCGGCCTCCCGGCGGAGGGTCGTGGAGGGCGTCGTAATTCCAAATTTCTCACCCTCGCGACCACTGGTGCGTAAGATCCCTGACCGCGGAACAAGGGATTGAGAAATACTGAGAATGGGACTTGTATAAGCTCGCTGGGAGGGCTTTGTGGAACGTTGCACCACTCAAGGGAAAGAAAGAGTTCTTTGATATGGGATATTGTGATTTGCAAAGCGTGTCAAGGACTCTGGTGTCTTGCAGTGCTTCTGCTCAGTATGCCAAGATGTCCGGGTTCGTGTCCCGACTAGGACAAAATTTTACACGTGCCCAGCACAATTGTGCGTCGGTCAGCACCCTCAGCAAGTCCGCCTGTCTCCCAACTGAGTAATTTTACCCTTCTTTGACCTTCCTTTTTATCATGAATTCCTCCTTCAAGACATTTGAGAACGGGATTTGGGAGTGGTTCGCTCGCTGTCCCAAACTCAAACCCCGCCAAATAGGAAGCTTTGCACGGAGTCACACCCGTTACGGTTTGTCCAGACGGAGGCCCGAGTCGCGATAGGGCAAATTCTTCGATGAGTGAGGTAGCAGGATCACTAATCACAGGAACAGGTAATCTCGCAACTTGAAACTGCGTGCCAAGGGAACTGATGCATTAGCTTGACCGCTGCGACCGCTGCAACTCTTGTAATCGCGGCAGACGTGACGGCAACTCTTGCTCTCTTGCGTACGACGCGATCCCTTGCGTTTTCCCTCGCCTAGCAATACTGTGTCTCTCCGTAGTACCACGGTTGAACTCACAAGAAAAATTCCAGTTCTTTCTCATTTTTGCTTTCTGCTCCACTAACATTCCTCTTTTCTTTGTTTCTTTAATTTTCGAAAGTAATGGCACATCAGTTCGATTGCGACCCGTGCCTTTAAATACGAGAGTTGTTCTTCCGTCAACAACTGCTCCGGTGAATGACAGTTTATTGATTGTGTCTCATTCACTAGGTATGCTCCATTGGCGGTTTCTCTTCCTTTTTTTCTGCTGAGTTCCACTTTCTACCTTGCCCTTCATTTTCTAGGGCAAAGAGTACAATTAAGCGATAACGGAGTGGGCCTTTGATGAGCTGATGAAGAGCTACTAACCATAACCGTATTCTTAAGGCGTCGTTCAGATGGTGGAGGGAATTGTCTTTGTATGGAGTCAATGTAGAAATGCGATTCACCTCGGAAGTTCGCTATCGTCAGGACAGAATTGTCACGCATTTTACCAAGGTTTATTTTTTTGACTTTTTTATTCCCTTTTCCCCCTTCAACTCCTTTTGCTTGAATCGAGTCTGCAGGTTTTTTTCCTTCTTTCAGATGGCATGGCATGACAATGTGAGGCTCGGATGTGGTCATCATCGATGCGATGGGTTCATATTTGCCGTCTGTCACTATGGACCTGGGTAACTTCTTGACAATGATTCCGATCGGGCTAAAAAAGATCGTGGACTCTTTTTTAGTGGCAACAGGATCGGCGAAAACATCTACGGTCGGGGCAACACATGTGCCAAGTGTCCCGGAAATTCCACATGCAACGACAGCACAGGATGAAATTGAAACACGCAAACGCATTCAAATCGATCCATCACTGGGCTAATGCATTGATATGGAATCCATGAACCAAGAACAAACTCAAGTGTAAAATAAATATGGACCAATCATTCTTATACTTTCTAACTCGTTCTTCGAGGATCGCCACCACCGGCCACACTCCATTCATGGTAAATTGCATCTGAATGATTTCCTAATAAGAATGTTTTACTGACTACACGCACGACATCTTAACCAGGATGCCCAGCATGTCCCCCTACACTCCAAACTTATTGCACACAGTGACCCGCATATACGAACGGGTAACCACTAAGGTCATATCAGCCACTGTTTTCCTGATTCATGCCATCGCATTGCGGGCGCACGACGCGGATAGCGACAAAATTGGATCACCCGAATACACACAACACCTAGTAAAGCCATCGGCGTTTTAATACCTTCTAGCCCCGTCTAGCTTACGCCTCTAAGACTCATTGTGATTTAGAACTAATCGGCCCCTTCCCAACTCCATGGGCAGCGGAACCATACGTCCCCACTGCCCACATCACACACGTATTTGCACACCTACAGGCGACCAACACCCTTTCGGGCCTCTAATTTTCAATGTCCCATAGCTAAACTCTATTTTCATGTTACAAAGCTAACCGTATATATTTTTGTGTATTCATGATCTAGCATACTTATTAGCAATAAGGAAATTTTAGGTGAAGTAGTAACTACCGCTGAAAATTGTGAAAAAGATGGGTAAATGGGCGGGTGTCGTCAACTTGCTAAATATTCCCGAGCAAGACATACACAAACTCGCAGCCATATCGTGCACCACATGTGTTGTGCTTGTGTACAAACTATCGTAACTTATAAAGTTCTGATGCGAATATTTTATTATAGCGTTAGTTGCATGGTTATTGCAAGTAATTAGAACGGAATTTCCGTGCAATACGAGTTGAAGAGAGAAATCGTGCTGTGACGTCAATCAATCAATCAATCCAAGTTCCCCCTTTACTTCTTAATCAGTCTTCTCTGATCTTTCACGTTTAATACGAGTAGCGACGGCTGCTACCACAGCTGCACCGATGCCGCTACCGTCCTTGGAGAGCATCAGTTGATACTGAAATAGAAAATCGGCTATATCTAATGAAACGTCGAAGGGAGTAGGGTTATTAGATGCAAAGCAAAAGTACATACGGCTCGCCACACGTGACCGGAGTGCGCAGCGATTGTAAAGAGTCGCAGCGTGTTGCGATTGTGGCCACATACTCAAATGGGAACAAGATCGAGATATGGGGAAAATCATGTCTATTCGAACGCTTTGAAGCGGGTTTTGTTCACAAACGCTAGGAGAGACTCCAGTGAGCGTGAGCGATTCCTATTTCCACCAGAGCTCCTGTCCCCTCCTAGCTTAGTCTCTGAGGATGCCCCCTTATGCTGCGATAGCGCCGAATCTCGTTCGTGGGTATGAACGAGTTGTCAAGCGGGTAGAGGAAACTATATGTCGGCAAAAGTTTCCCTTACTCTCCACATGCGCCCAAGTGAAAACTCCGCCTCCCGCAAAAGTTTCCCCTTTCGCCTATTCTCCTGTCGTTATGTACAATTTTTATCACTGATTCCCTGAGTCTCCACATCGCTGAGTAAGAATGTCGCCAACGCGGTCCAACTTGAAGCTTCCGATTTTGAACATATCGGTCTGGATGTGCCGCGCTAACTCGAACATGTTCTCCAACTCGCAGCATTCCGAGGCTCTTCCAGCTACCGTGCATAGGCCGGTGTCAGACTTGAAGTCTAGCGATTCGCAAAGTCTGACACCGCCTTCGAACG